CCCGCCCCCCGTCTCACCCCCTGCCCCACTCCGTTCAGCCGCTGCAGGTCCCGGCCCGCCCTGGCGCACCTCATGCAGAGCACCATGTGGGTGTTGCTGCGCACTCGCCGTGTGTAGGCAGCCATGAGGTTGGCCTTGGTGGGCTGCAGGCCCTGCTCCTGGACAAGGGGCCGCATGGTGTTGACAATCTGGTCCTGCTCGTCTGGGGAGTACAGGTTGGGGATGTCCCCCGAGTTCAGGATGTTGTTGATGTCCTCCAGGAAGGACTCGTTCTTGATCTGCAGGGAGGGAGAGGGCAGGGGGCTCGAGCAGGCAGAATGCTCGCTCGGGGGTCTGCCCCCCACTGAGCCGCCAGCAGTGCCTCCCAGCCGTGGCCCCAGTGCTTGCAGCCGGGCCGGCCCCACTGCAGCGTCTGCCCCTCACAGGACCCCGTGGCCATGGGCAGAGACGGGCCCTTTACCCAGCTCCCATGACCAGAGCCTGCCCAGTCTGTGCCAGGGAAGCACTGGGGTGGGCATGGGTCTAGGGGCTTCGACTAGGCCCACCGTGACAGCCCGCCACCCTAAGTGCGGCTTGGTTTGCCCGCCCACACCCCCAGCCCTGAGCGCATCCTCCTTGCCCGGGAACCACTCCGGGCGCAGCGCCCAAGACGGAGCGGGCGCGCTCTTCCGCGGGCCGAAGCCCCGTGGTCCTGAAGGTGGGGCGCGCTGCACCTGGTCCTGAAGGTGTGAGCTGTGTGCTGCCTGCCCCCCCCTCAGAGGGGGACTTTGGCCCCAGGCTTCTGACCTGCCCACGTCTCTGTAGCCCCGTGTACTTTCTTCCGAGGCCCACCCCGCTGATAGAGAACCCTGCCGGTGGGGCGCGCTGGCACCTGGGTGTCGGCGAACAGGAAGGTGAGCGGCAGGTGCTGCAAGCCGGCCTTGAGCAGGGCCCTCTTCACGTCCTCACGCCACTCCACCATGCCGTAGTTCTTGGACAGCTCGATCTGGAAGCACTCGTACTCCGCCCTGGGGCAGGGGCAGGCTGGCCCGGTGTTCCAGATGCCGGTGCCCACCCCTCACCCTACTCATCTAGGGCCCTGCTCCCATCTTGGACAGACGTGCTGACACCCCGGGCCCTGAAGGCCCCTTCTCCCTCACCCCCAGGCCTTGCTCAAGCTGCTCCCTCGGCCGGGCATGCCCACTCCTTCCATTCTCCTGGCCAGGCCCACAGCTACTTCCACTGGGAACCCTCTTGGATGCCCACAAGTACAAGCCCCTGCCAGCCCGCCCGCCTGGGGTCTTGCCACCGCCGCCGCTCCTTGAAAGCCAGGCTCCACTCCTGTTCTCCCCCCACCCCCCACATGGCCAGGCCTCACATGTGTGACGCCAGGCGCGTGAGGGAGCTGCGGCCGCTGCCTCCCACGCCCAGCAGGAGCGCGTTGCCCAGCGCCTGGCGAAGGGTGCGGCTGATGCGGCAGATGTGGCTCATGGCATCCAGGAAGAGCACCAGCTTCAGCTTGGCCGTGTTGATCTGGTTGTAGTCTTCCATGTACTCCTCCAGGACCTGCATCATCTGGGGACGCCAGGGACACCCCAGGCCAGGGGACATCACAGCTCTGGGGTGTCCCGACAAAGGCTGCCGCCCCAGAAAGCCTGTTGCCCCTCCGCAGGAGAGATGCGTGGGTGCATCAGGCCTCTGTTCTCAGGGCCAGCCAGCCTGGGCCTGCCGCCCCCACGTGACCAGCCAGGAAGGAGGATGCAGACAAGGGCGTCCATAGGGATGGCTTCAGAGAGGGCCCGGGGCCCGGGGGAGCAGCACGGGGAGGACCCCACCAGGGATGGGTCCCAGGGTGCTGTGTGACCTGCAGCCCAACAGCAGCTCCTGGGGTGGGGGGGCACCACCCGGCCCTCCCTGGGCCCCACCTTCTTCTCATTGGTGATGAGCTCGTAGGACTTGACGTCAGAGCCCGGAGACATGAAGTCCCCGTAAAGGATGGGCTGGAAGGGGCAGACGGCCGCGAAGGACACGTCCCACTGCTCCAGGCGGCCCTGCAGGAGCCCGTCGAACCAGCCGCGGTCCTCCTCATTCACCAGCCGGTCCCGGAACACGCGGCAGCTCTCGTGGTGCCAGAGGCGCAGCAGCTGCACCAGGTCCTGCCAACAGCGCCCGGCGCAGGCGTCTCCTCAGCCTCCTCCCTCGCCAAGCGTGCCCACACTGGGGCCGCATGCTGCCAGGGCCCTGGGGGCCCCCACCCAGCTCCTCACCTCCACCTTGGCCACCTCGGCCATGAGCATGCCCTGGAAGACCTTGGAGAGGTCCCGCAGGTTGAAGGTGTAGTGGGACTTGGCCGGCGTGGGCAGCAGCTGGGAGGTGACGGTGCTGTACACTGTGATGGTGGCTTCCACCAGGGACTCTGTGATGTGGGTGAGGTGGGGGGCCCCGGCTGCAGGAGAGGACAGCGGGCCAGGGTCACGCAGGGGCTCCCGAGCATCCTCTGGGGACTCCCCACCCTCCAGCGCTGGGGGAGATGCGAGGGCTCCAGTCTCGGGGCCCCACCCCTGCAGGCAGGCTTAGATCCGACCCGACCCTCAGCCCCTGAAGCACCAGCTCCGTCACACGGACCCCACTCAGCACGGGCTTCCCCCGCCTGACAGCCTCCTCTCCCTTCTATACGCTGAACCGTGTAGAGTAGTGGGGGTCAGAGTGTGGGTGTACTGACAGTGGGGGGTCAGAGTGTGGGTGTACTGAGACAGTGGGGGGTCAGAGTGTGGGTGCACTGAGAGACAGCGGGGGTTCAGAGTGTGGGTGTACTGAGAGACAGTGGGGGGTCAGAGTGTGGGTGTACTGAGAG